CCAAATGAAGAGTTTGGGATGATCCTCCCAACGCCAAATTGACTAGGTCTAAATATTCTCTGACAGTCAAAAAATCGGAGATACAGCTGTTGACATCGACAACTTCTGATGCAAATGGGCCTTTAATTAGCTGATGACTTGCTGCAACACAGCCAGCATCGAAATCCCGGCCAGCTCCAGAGTCAAACCCAAAGAGGTCCAGGCTTGTTCACTGCCAAACAGTTCCGAATGCACGCGAATAGCAATCGAGGCCATCGTGGACCGGTACTTACCATCACGATAACTTGCAATTTTGCCGTCCAGTGACTCCTTAATCTAATCCTTCAGCAGACATCCTCCGAATGATTTAAGATAATGGACTGACAGCAAGGATGGCCTCTCTATGCAAAGAGGAAGTCAAATTTCTTCCTCAAGACGGGTGGAAATGCACCCCTTCAGGAGGCGCTAAAGAGAGGTGTTTATCAGCCATTTTCTGTGCAAGGTTCAAGCAACAGGTCCATTGCCCACCATGGATGCCAGTAATCCTCTTTCGAAATCATCCTCTACCGATCCACTACGGCTTGGACGAAATAACTTCTATGGCGTGATTAGCTAAATAGCCTATCCCGTCCCCATTTTCTTTTCTTTTCTTTTCTTTTCTTTTATTCATGAGACCTTGATTTTCAAGTCTTCGCCAGCGAATTTAGCTTCTGGACCTGGTCAGGGCTTGATTTATTCAGACATATAAACCCTTGGATGACACTATCTGATCGAAACCCATTTTGCAGGGCACGGATTTACCATTTGCTTCTTCGATTCTTCGATCATTCCAGTTGGATATTCACCTCAATGATAAGTTTGGTTAATCGAGAAGCTGAATGGATGGCTCGTACCTTACCTAGAGTGAATCGGCGCACTCGTGGTCTGTCATATACTACAACACCTCTTCTGATTACATTTCATAACTCGACAAAAAGAATTCCAAAGACACTTCCCTGTGACAGCGGGTCCACATGCCAGAAATTTGCAGTTTTAACCTGTTGAAGTGCGCTCTGAGCCTTGAAAGCTCGATTAATCTAGAAATTGACTCGCCAAGAAGTGACACTTACTTTGATGCTAAATCTCTTTCGTAGGGTTAATTAGTTATCCTGATCTTTGGTTTTTGGCCTCTCGCGAGGTCAAGGCCCGTGCCAAGCGCGATGGTAAACGGCCAAGTTTCTCGTATTGAGTAATCACAAAACATCTGAATAGTAATCTTCTATCTGGGCTGGCACAGATTGGCTTGGGGAGAAAGTTAGAAGTGGAACTCAAGGCTGAGTTGCGGATAAACATTGCATCCCCACGCCGTCAACATCGGGTGATTCATGAACAGTCCAATAATGCTCATAGATTCAATCTCCTTTCTGCCTAGATGCACTCGGGCCGGATTCGATAATTGACTTCAGGCAGACTGTGATCATGATGCAATGTGCAACTAGATCGTGATATTGAACACACATACATACATATATGTACATAAATGCAATAACTCCTGCTTTCCCCTTTTTTCCTTTTTTTTTTTTTTTTTTTTAAATAATATATCCCAAGAGTGTACACTCAATATTCAAAGCAAAGACGCATTCCATCCAACTCCAATAGCGGAGAGATACCCTTGTCGTTCCATCTTCCAAGATCCTTCAAGCAAACTTTCCATATCAGCGTTTCAAGCCATGGCTTTTCCAGTCTTCATTAACCTCTCAACGACCAAGCTCTCCGCCGCAACTACTTTCTATGAAACAATGGGCTTCATAAAACATCCCTTCTTCAGTTCCGAACATGGCCATGCGATGGTCCACTCCCGCAACCACGACATCGTGGTCATGATTTCCAGTGCGGACCACTTCCAGAAATTCATCCCTGCCTCACGGCGAATCCCAGAAACCACCATTGACGAGGTTTCCAAGAACGTGGTACTCCTCGGCTTGCCTGCTAAAAGCAAGCAGGAGGTTGACGAATTGGTTGAGAGGGCCGCGAGCGCGGGCGGGAAAGCATTTCCTGCCGTCAAGGTGGAAGGATGTGATGAAAGCATGATGTACACGCGGGCGTTTGCTGATTTGGATGGGTATTTGTGGGAGATGGTTTGGTGCGAGGAGGGCATGGTCAAGATTGCTGATGAAGCGTTGTCGAAGAGAATAGAGGAATTGGAGAAGAAGAGTGATGCTTGAATTCGTGGCGCTAGGGGGTCCGAGAAAGGATGGAGCGTTCAAACTTACTGATATGCTGGTGTGATTTGAGGAGATACCCTTTGAGCTCAATGTCATACTTTTGTGTCTGTCTATCGGATACCTGAATCGAAAGCAACTCGAGATATTCGAGACCCAAAAAAAAGAAAAAGAAAAGAAAAACCAAAAGGTCATACATATGCAATGGATATAAATGTGGTCGAGCCATATGGACATCAAATTATCGTCTCATGGCCGTCTCACGCTATTCTCGTAGCTGTATTATTTCTAACGGAGGTATGTTAGCATCAAACCGGACCAAGGGTGGAGAATGGAGGTACCTGTTAAAAACTCCTCGAAGCTCACTGTTATATAACCATCCCGGTCTTCGTCATACTTCTTGAACACATCCGTCATTCTTTTTAACGTCAAGCAGGCCTGAACGAATAGATCAAAGCTCATCCCACCCTTTTCGCCGGATAGAACTGGAGCACCCCTTCCTCGACCTTTATTCTCAAAGGTCTTATATAGCAGATTCACGAACGATTGGCTCAACCTATAGCCAAATGCGACCAGCGCCTTACTAAACTCTGGTAAACTGATGCGGCCACTGCGATCTTCATCAAACCGGTCAAATAATTCTCTCCAGGCAGCTAAAAAGCGCCATAGCGCAACAAATTCATCAAATGTCACCCGACAATTGCCGTCTCTGTCAAACATTCGGATCATCATCTTAACCGTTTGGGGATCGAAAGAAGTATAGTCTCCGTTTACCAGTGCGGATCCTAACTCGTGTTCAGACAATGAGCCTGTGTTAGAAGCGTTCGCGGCACGAAAGAGCGGGAAGAGATCTTGGGGATTGTCGGATGCGGGCACTCCGGGCGCTTGTCCCGGCCGAGGTGTCCGCGGGGGCAAAGAGGATGCGGGAGGGCGGTTCTGCGTTGGGTGCATGGGTCGTGGGCCATGGCCATAGCTCTGTGGAGGAGGTGAATATATTCGATTACCAGTATTCGAACTCGGAACAGGAGGTCTTGAAGCTGGGGGGTAAGTCTGCTGGTGATGTGGAGCATTTGGATGGGCACGCGGCGGAAGTCCGCCGCCTGGTGGTGGCTGACTATGGGCGTGAGATTGCGGATGGGAAGACCGCATTTGCCCTAGCATCTGCGCAGCCTGTTTTCCTGTGTTACTATGGTGACATTGGAATGCCGCTTCCTCCGGCCAGAAATGCGGAGGCTAATCGCATACCTGCTCCGGCTCTGCATGCCTAAGTTCGGATTTCTTAGCGGTAGCTGTGGAATCGCGAGGGCAAACCGAAGATACTTACGCTGGAAGCGCATCCGGGTTAAATGCGCTATTATACGCCATTGTACGCTGGTCTGTTCAGCACGTCACCGTCGTTCTTGATACTTGGAAGCCTGGAGGAGGGGGTGAAGAATGGGAGCAAGGAGTCGACAACTTTTAGATTGCGTTCGACGAAGACACGAACATTACTGGGCGCAACCGTGGCCTTCACGCTCAAGAGGAGCTCACCAAGCTGGCTAGCGCGTTTGATCTACTCTGTACGGTCAGCTGCCCCATTGACTCTCTTTCGAAACGCCCTCTTTGACGCGGCTCAACAGCAGCTTCTCCCCGCCAAGCATCGCGGGCGCCAAGCTCAGGTCACATGTTTTCTGCATCAAGGTTCGGTACCTTTCCTCTTTAAAACTAGCCTGTTGCTGCCCTGGATCTCCGCCAGGGGTTAGTAAGCACTAGCGCTGATTGGCTGGTAAGACATCCCGCCCGTGTACCGTTTTCTCAGGGCGGATGGAACAGCGCATGAATTGTTCGTGACGACGGGCGGCGTGATGGCGATCTGATAATAGACATAGTAGATTTATAACCTGTTCGCCGCGGGTTGTGCGTTTCGTGCTGAATCTAAAGGAAAATCATGGAAGACAGCTCCCAACAGACATCAACCCATTCGGTATGCGCCCTGAGTTCATGGCGGCGTTATTTCCCCGACGGAGACGTCTGGGTTTTCGGATATGGGTGCGTGAGTGTTTGCAACTAGTTATCTGCCGCTCGATGTTGAGTCTGGGCTCCGTCCCGGTGCTTCATTGCTTTTTCCTGTTTAAGGAGGTCTGTGCGAGTACCGCTAATGCATTGATGAACAGGAGTTTGATATGGAAACCGCCTCCGCATTATGGTATGTTTCAATACATCAGATGAGGCACCCGAAAATTATGTATACCGATGAGGAGCCATTACTCCATATTGGGTTCAACTTTACATTTTATTTTTCTCATATTTGCGAATTTCATGAGATACACGGAGAGCACTAAGCCGTGGCCTCCCCGAGATGTAACAAGCCACAACGCTGGTTTGAGTTTCGAGAAGATATGCAATGAGACGCTCCATTACTCCGTACTCGGTATGCTCTTGAGGTTCCTGCTGGTGCTAATTGATTGGAGTTTAGACCGGCGTCTTCCAGGCTATATCAAAGGCTATGTTCGGCGATTCTGGCAGGTATGTCCTGTGTCAACCAACTGCCCAACTTCACACGCCCAGGCACACCATAGCATTCAGCCAACGCGGGTTGTCGTGGTTAAGGGAAGCTAATTTTTATCGTCTCCCGTAATTTTCCCTTGTCAAGGCAAGGTATGGAGCACAGTTCCTCTGGACCTGAAAGTGACATTTTTCTTGTTCCCAACCACGTCCCGTTTTGTTGAAAATACCGTCGGATTCCGGGACCTTTCAGCCGTCAATACGCGTTGCATCCCCTAATCAACATGGATCGGCTGAATGGAAATGGACACCTTTCAGTGCTAATTCGTAATTCTAATGCCCAGCGCGGATCACCGTGGCACCCCTGAATCCAATGGCCGTGTGGTCACAGTCATAGAGCGCTCCTTTTGGGAGACTTTGTCCGATCCTGTTAGTACTCCCTGGGTTCTTTGCCTCCCGTCTTTCATTTGGGAATAAAGGGTCGCTCTCACAACTTTTTTTCTTTTTTTCCCTCTTTTTTTTTTTTTTTTTTTTTTTTTTTTTTTTTTTGGCTTGTATCCCATTTACAGGCAACAAAACCAGCTTATCCTCGACCCACACAGCATCAAGACGTACAGCCAAACTCCAACGAATCGTTGGTTTGGGGTGCAGCGTACCACATTCCCGCCTCCCACGCCGAGGAGGTCAACGCCTATCTCGATCACCGTGAAATAAACGGCTACAGCGTCCACTACACCCCTTTCCATCCGTACACGCCTTCAACCCAGGAGGGCGAGCCCGACGCGCCCGATCCATCGAACTCATCTCCACCATTCCTCTGCATGGTTTACATCGGCCTTCCAACAAATTCTCAGTTCCTCCGAAACCCGACAGATCGCGATCCGTCCTCTGTGGCGGGTGTGATTGCTAAAAGTCGTGGTCAGAGTGGCGAGAATAAAGAGTACTTGTATCTTCTAGAGAAAGCCCTTGAAGGCATCGGACTGGGCTACGCCGACGCCCATGTTACGGATTTAGTGCGAAGGGTTAGAGCGTTGGAGGGTGTTCGCGAGGGCAGAAAGAGCCAGAGTGAGATTGACGTGGAGAAAATCACTATCCCAGAAGCGGAATATAGGGAAGACGAGGCGATGGAAGAGGTGGATGAACATGTTGAGCGGAAAGCATGATGAAGTGATTGCGATTTGTCCAGGCTAAGCTGTGTTTATTTTCCCCTTATTAGATATTAGACTTGGTCTACATACAAGTTCATAGGTTTACCAAGCAGTTATTGAAGATTTATTTAGAGTAGAGCTAACGAAACTATATTCAGAGCAGAAGCCGAAAGGATCTGAAATTCGACCACCAAGCAGCATTCCCTCATCACCCTTGTTTGCGTACATGCGTACATACACCAATAGAGTAGAAAATGAGAAGCAAGTAGTAGCAATTTCAACAAAAGGAAAATAGTGACAAAAATTCGGGAGCTGGACTTTTTGCCGGGTCAAAATCAAAGAACAAACCAAAAACGAAGGACTACAAATAGGAAAGCAAAAGGAATGTTCATCGTATCGCCAGCCCTCGTAAATCCGGAGAAGAGAATCAAGCAAGACAAAAAAGGGAATGGACAGACAATATCAGGCCGTGTATTCGAGTAACTAGAATTTGGACAAGAGGACCTAGCATGTCAGTCATTAAGAATCGAAAATAAGGAAGAGAAATTAGAGAGCAAATCGTTAGAGAAGCTATCAAGATGCTATCCCAATGCCTTGGAACTTTCGTACATCCCTCCTCAATGTCAGCTCACCAACAAAAGGACATAAGAAATGCAGCCAGGGTTCATCATATGCGAATAGGACTTGGAAAAAGTGAGAAGCAAGACTCGCTTCGGCCTCTAATCGCCCAACTTACGGCTCAGGCAGCAGATCCGCCCTGGTTTTGGTTGGACCAGTTCTGTTGATAGCCGCCCCATCCTATAAATTCCAAAAAGAGACTGGTCAGTTTTGCGAGTGACAATCTCTTGGTGAAGATTAGAAAAGCGAAAATAAAAATCCTACCTCCTCCAGTACCACCCTGACGCTGGTCATAGCCACCTCCATTGTTGCCACCTTCATCAAACACGTGCATCAGCTAGGATCGACTTTTCTGATAAGGTGCTATAACTATGAGGAAGAAAGCTCACCATAACCACCTCGATTGTAACCACCTGCTCCACCGCCTTCGAAACGGCTGTAGTTGCTGCGGTTAAAGCCGTCATTGCGCGGGCCAGACGGGCGATCAGCAGCCTTGTCAACGCGAATGGTGCGACCATCAAACCTGCATCGATCAACTTTTAATGCTGCCCAGAAATGGTTTATGAAGAAGATAGCTGCTTTTTGAATGAGAAAATGAGGGAGGTTTTAACGTACTCCTGGTTGTTCATCTCGTTCATAGCGGCTTCCGCCTCGCCCTCACTGGCAAAACGAACAAATCCAAATCCCCGGCTGCGGTTGGTATCGCGATCCTTCACGACGATCTATTTCAGTTTAGAATAAGACACTCAAATCGCTTTCACCGCTTCGAATTGAACGAGCAGCCCAGGATCATATAATAACTAACAGCCTCCTCGATGCTTCCAAACTTGGAGAAGCCCTGACGTAGGGTTTCATCCGTGGTATGCCATGCTAGGCCACTTAGGAAGTTGAATTATTAGGTTAGTACTGACGCGAGGGTGCGCAGAAGGCCGAGATGGAATTGAAAAACTAACCCAATGAACAATTTGGACATGATGACACCAAATAGGATAGATTTGATGAATCGAATAGTAGCAAGTGATAGAAATAACTTTAGAAGCAAAGGAGTATGCTGTTAGCTTGGAACCAGAAAAATAAATTGAGAGTCAAAAGGTTGATCTGGGCTGAAGGAACACCAAGATGTGGTGGTAAATTTATGATCGTAATGTTTTTCAGGACGCAAGCATGAATGTTTCACACGTAACAAAGCAAAACAGTGTTGCCGGGAGCGATATACAGGCTGCACCGAATAGGTATGACTCTGTGCACTCAGGACAAAACAGGAAGAATGTCCAGCACAAGATTCACATCAAAGTGGGGGAGAGAACATGTCAAAAAGGAATCAAGTGATCTAACTTTTTCTGGCAATGATTCTATGTGCACTCTGGATGCTAATTTGAATATGCCGGCTCTGAGTAATAGTCGCAAGGCAGACACTGGCTGGGGAGCAAGAGTGGTGGAAGCAGCCGATTCTCAAGATGGAGGGGTCAGCGGATGGTTTTAAAGGCCCTGCATCCAACAGGAAAATAAATCCAAGTGGTGCGAGAGTAGACGAGAAAAAGTAAAATATGAGAAAAAATAAAAAATAATTTCAACTGACAAAGTTGAAAACCTTTGAATATTTTTCAAGCACACTGCGAAGGGTGCCTGATGAGACGACGGAAAGCAACATGACAAGCAGACTCAGCAGAACAAGAAAGGCAATCCTTGGCTGCGACAGCAGAGAAGCCTGCTTCGAATACCCGCAGGTGAATGCACTTCCGCTTCATTTATGCGACAGCACTACGCTATCCCAGCCCTCGTCGCCCCCGGCCGGCCGTTGGTGGGAAGAGTCGGCTAACAGCTCTGGGGCTAGTGATGGGAAAAGTGTGGGCACTAGCTGCTGGTGTTGACGAATCTCGGCACTCCGTATGTTTTCCGATTTTCCCACTGGACAGAAAACCATTAGCTGGTGCGTTAATTTCCTCGCGGCAAGGGATGCTAAGCCAGTCACATCACAGAGCCGGGTCGATTCGAACTGGACTGGCTCGGATGCTGTGCCATCTGACGGAATTGATGAAGTCTGTTGCAACGATGCTGATGGAGCACGGATGGCCAGGATCAGGGTCTGGACACGGACGATCGACAGTATGGTATGAGTTATGTATGTCAGCCAGAACTCGCAGGGCAGCCATGGTGATATTTCTCCGTCGATGTTTGGATAAAAGGGCGTGATGCATGCGTCCCAGCGGGAGAGGGAAGTGGCCTCTTTCTTTGAGCTGACCCATGGAAAAGAGGAAAGGTCCCAGAAAGCCCGTGTTGACTGATTGGTTCCGCGGTTCGTACCTCTTCTGCTCCGTACGCCAGGCTCTTCAGCCCGCCTCGACCACATGCGCTACCACATACTTCAAAGGGCGTTTATTCGTCGAGCGAGGGAGCTTGTCCCGCAGCTTGGGCATCTCAGATCGTAAAATGTAAGTCGATGGTTCGATAGAATTTTCACGGATTCTCCTCAAAGGATAAGAATAATGTACGAGCTGGCCAGCCACGCATGCTTTTTGAAGCGGTGCAATTCTTTTCGGTTAGGGCCTTCTAACAAGCGTAGTGGTCTGTTCCGGTGGTGCAAATAGGCTCCCGTATACTGTTCAGGAAGGGCTTTGTTTTGCTAGTTCTTCTCTTGGGGGATGCAAATGCCAGCAGCACAAACGACCCCCTTGGTACTTACGCCGTTGGTGCCCACGGAGCCCGGAGCCCGGAGTTATTTCTTTTTTCTCCTGCATACTGTCATTGGGTCTTATAGTGGTTGTTGGAAATGCCTCGATGCTGGCTACAGGTCAATGAACTTGAAATTTGTTTGTTGTGACAGCATCGCGTGTTCAGTCTCAAAAAAATAAAAAATAAAACGCGGATCCACCAGATCTTCCAGATCTTTGAGGTCGCCTCTCTGGGTGGATCCCGGAGATCGCACATTGGGTTGATCGGTTGTCACCCCGGTTTCGGATTAACCAACATTCTGCAGCAAGCAGAAGATATTGTTGGCTCGCCCTTTTTGCCTCCGCAATCCCATAGCATAGCTTATCCTGAACAAGGTTAACGGCTGTTCGATCGCTTTAGCCGCCATGGCCCTACGGGCCTACTCTCAAACGTCGCCTGGCTCCATTGGAATTATGTCAGCCCTGTTGAATGTGTGCTGGACCGGCACGGCCCATGCTACATGTTCAAGGTGAGCATCATATCTGCTGGCTTGGAATGCGTGTGTCAGCATGCAGGCCCGCGGCCAGTCTCATGTGCTTCACAGCTGTTCCCCGGTGGTCTCCCGAGGGCGATGCCGGCCGGATGGCGAAGTGAGTTGGGTGGTCGTGCTGTCGTCCCGAGCACCGTCGTCCGGCTTCCCTCTGCCCGCGCGTGTGACTTGCCCTTTTTGGAAATGGCAACGGCGTGTCAGGACACTGCCGCCGCCATCTTCACGGCAACCTGCTGTGAGTCCGCCGGCGTGTCTTGCGTTCACTGCTCTTCTCGACGAAACCAGACGGTTCCCACAGGCGCTGACCGGTAAACACCAGCTATGCCGGAACCTGGCGTTTCGCGACGGAAAAGCGTTGTCCAGTGGCTGTCGCAGGTCGATCCCTTGGATGGTGTTCCTCCTGTTGAATCCTACGCTGCGATACATCCGAACCCGTATCAGTCCTCACATGCCTTGGAATGCCACGTTCCAGCTAGACAGTCGGATGATATGACATTGCGGGGTGGCCGAGGTCAATTTCCAATGCTCCCACCCCTATTTTATTCCCAGAAACTCACCTCGTACCTACATTCAGGGAACACTACGCGACTCGGCGAGACAAGATCTCACTCAAGAGAAACTCAGGTTAGCGGAAACAACTTTCATTTCTACAAATTTATAGCAATGCATCACGATCGTAACACTCCAACACTAACAATTTGTTCACGTTCCAGCGTTTTGCTTTTCCCGCTCCGCACAGCCCGGGTCAACACAGTCCCACAAGGACGGCCGTCGGCGATACTACCGAGCTACCTCTCCCTGAAAAGACATACGAGAAGAAGCCTAGAAGAAAAACGCGAAAAGATCGATACGATCCCAAAGATGCAGCAAAAACCCACAAGGCAGCTAAATTTGCTGAAAACACCACGTCCAGCAGACCCGAAAAGACGAAGTGTAAACGCGGAAAGAAACTTCTTGAGGATCAGTTTGTTGCACCGAATGTGTCGCAACAGCGCATCACGGTAGGGCGTCATCCCCCCAAAAGGGCCCAGTTACTGAAAATACTAATTATTCCCCTAAAAGCTTGGCTCAAGCTTTGATATGGGATTGTTTGCACGCGGACGTGCTTCTTCACCAGTAAGACGATGCGAACGTGAGTTTACATATTGAAAGTATCTCTATACCTACTTATATGCTAATCATTCTTAGCAGTACCCGACCTTGCATTTTCAGAGATGAGATTTTTATCTCGTCATCGCAGGCAGCACCAGCCCCTTAACACTGTTGATGAAAGCAAAGGTAACGCATCGATCAGGCCCCCAATTGTTGAGATATCAGAATATTTCTCTCGCCCGCAGTCCACGGGAAAGCCTGCTAAAAGTTGTTCTTCCGCTATTCTGCAGCAAAGGCCAGAACCTTTGAAATGCGGAGACGTATCAAATTTCGCTAAACAAGCCAGTGTCTCTAAGGATGATTCACCTGCGCCGCTAGGAGATTTATGCCATGGTTTGGAAACGAAAGATTCACACAGCGTGAAGCGGGCAAGGCGGTCCACAACTTATTATACTTGGTCCGACACTAATGCTAAGGATAGCCCGAAGAGTGACATCAAAACTGGGGGTGATGAACTACACGGTACCACACATCAAATTTCTGCCCGAGATGTGGCTTCCCGACAGGATTTTTGGACGAAAATATCATCCGCCGAAGATGATTCTGGACATGATCCGTGCATTATATCGAAAGTCTATGACATGGTTTTCAAAAACGCCTACTTAGGCCAGCCGTACGAGATGCCAGCATCATCCGGTTCACAAATCTACACATTAGAGGAATTGCAATCGTTAGCAAGCCGACATCTTTCCTCCGCCCCCATATCAAAACAAGGTGATAGATATATTTCGGAAGCAGATCAAGTACAAACCAAAACCGACGACTACCCTGACAAACCGGGAATTATCCCCAGTGGGTACCAGGGCATTTATTGTCAAGGAGAAAATTCTATAACGGGAACCGCCTGCCCCAAGGACCGGTTTGCGAGGACTGTGCGGAGTTTAAAGGGGCTAGAGGTGGAAAAAGAGCCCCCAGGTCTGGCCTCCCACCAAGATCTTTTCCTTTGCCATAATGAGCCTACATTTCTATTTGACAGTCATGATAGAGGAGCGTCCACTCCGAAGCATGAGTATCCGAAATTCTCTATTGGACTTACTGAAAAGTGCCCCGGAGGAATCCGACATGGGTACTCGCGTCCTGATCGGAAAGGCACCCTGGAACGTAAGTCGTATAGTCCATCAGCGTCCGGGACGTGGATGGCCCAAATAAATGTCGTTCCTGATACGAGACTCGACCACGGCGACTTGAATGCACAGAACGAAGATCCCAACCTGACAACTTTCTCAGGACGCGCGTTGCTCGATTTAGCGGATACGGATATAGATACTTTGCTACCCCTGGATTTTAGAGCGTTCGGTGGACCGGCGTTGGCTGGAAAATGTACTCCCAAAATGTTGAACACTCTCGAGGAACCCAAAGGCCCTTCCGACCCATACCCATATGTGCACCGGCATAGCAATATTAGCCCTGGGTATGGATTACCAAGCTCTCCAGCTGGCAACGCGCCGTCGTCATCCTCGCTTTTTCATTATCCCCGACGTGTGCTCAGTCAAACCCAACAAACTCCTGTTCATATCGATCCGATCCCAGATTTATCTCTATTCTGGCGTCCAAACAAGCTATACTAGTTACAAGGCAGATGGTTCTATCACTTGGAGGGGTGTCCGTTGTCATTGAGGAATGGTCGCCTTGGAAACCATCTCATCGGGAATAGTGTTGCCCATGCTCCGGACAATGCAAGCCTCTTTGTTTGGTTTATTGGGAACTTGTCGATTCTTTTACGATATCATTTTAACGAAAAATTGACGGTCGATCTCTCCCGAAACCCAGTGCCTATGCTACCAAGCGTGTGCATGGCTATTGGAAAGGCCCCATTCTTCTCAGGAAAATGGCTGCGGCGACAATCAATACGAGAGATTACGATGCGCTTTTGGATTTTTTAACTATTCCCTTGACGACTTGTCAGATTCTTCAAGCATGAGCCCAGGCAGCAACTTTCTTTCTTGGCAAGCGGAAGTACATCATTGCCAACTGCACGAACGGTCGCTGACAGCCAAACGACTGGGTGTTTGCTAGACCTGAGGCCAGTAGGATATTGAGCTTGCAAAGCGAGAAGTCTCCATGAGATTTACGATATCTGCGTCAGCACACACGTACTCCTAGGTCTCCCCGCCTACCGATTTTTGACCGTTTAAAAGCACGAGCGGCCATTTTGGACGAGAAAAACATGGCCCTCACGATCCAACGTCGACAGCGATTCACCGAGAAAGAATGGCTCCTATCGCTAAACAATGCTTTCGGAATGCAGCCAAAATTGTAGGGTATTCGAAACTCTATAACTTCATTCTTTGGTTCGTTTTTGGCGGTGCCCTTCTTGGATTCACTTTTGCGCGCCTTCAGTACCTTCACCTCGACACCTACGCAAAAGAATCAGCACCAGGCGAATGGTATTACGCACATACGGGTCGGGGTCGAGTTGGAATTGTTCTCCATCTGGCTACCATCTTGCCCTGTGCGATTCTTGTGGTTTTCCAGTTCACCCCGGTAATCCGGCGACGATGGGTCACGTTTCATCGCATAAATGGATACATTATCTATATCCTATTTATGGTTTCGAATGCTAGTGCGCTTATGATTATGCCGCATACATTTGGTGGAGGATTGGATGTCCAATCATTCACCGTTATGCTCGTCGCTGCTTGCACAATCAGTGTCGGTATGGCCTGGTACAACATTCGTCGATTACAGATCGAGCAGCATCGAGCTTGGATGTTGCGCGCTATGTTTTATATGGGGTGCATTGTGACCATCAGACTCATCCTCGTGATTTTAGCCGTGGTCGTTAGTCGCATACAGCCTTCCCGACATGACGTGTGGTCTTGCGAACAAATCCGGTTTACATACGAGCAGCGGGAGTCCTTTACTGATGTAGCAGAAGTGCTGGCACAACGATATCCGATTTGCGCATCTGCTACTTCCCAAAATATGAGCTCGACCTTCACGCCAATCGAAGCGAGTCTTCTTGCCGACGATGTCGCGCAGAAAGGCGCGGCGCTAGATTTGAGCTTTGGTAGCGCTGGTTGGATTTCCTTCTTTCTTCATCTTATCGGAGTGGAGATTTATCTCCGTCTTACACCGAGAGAAGCTGAGCGTTTGCGCGACGTGAGCTTTGAGAGACAACTGGCGGCTGGGTATGAAAACCCGGGTAGTTCCGGGTTAGTGATCGAGAATTGGGGAGATGCAAAACAGTGGAATCGAGGATAATAGGAAACGAGAGTTGCTGTGATCGTTAAAAACAAAGGGGGAGCTCATAGTTTTGTTTATTCTCCATAGTTTTTGTTGAATTACAGAGCTAACCGAATCTCAAATAAGATATCGTGGATTTTATACTCTGTACGGAGTACTCCGTAGGGATCGTTAATACCCTGAAATTACTTACCTAGTCACAATAGAAAATCATGCCCTTTGTTGCTTGTAGAGCATGCTCAACTTTCGTATTAGCATCAGCAAGCTTGTTGGCAGACGAAGATTTCCCGGTTTCTGCCGGCCCGACCAGAAGTCTGATTCGCGAATGCTGTGTGAAAAGGCGTAGAGAGGACATTTTCGAGAAGCAAAATCCTCCCTCAAAAGGGAATTCAGTTCGAGTAGATATGACTTCAACGTCTGCTGCCTAGAAGCGCGTAAGGCTGTCCACCATTCCTTGTCCCTCTCATGTCCATGAATCTAGGAGTTGAAACATGATCGAACAGAGCGATGGAGTAAGGGCAAAGCTTGTGGCTCCGAAAATGTGGAAACCCCTCGCTAATCACACATGTGTCTTCTGTTGGTGCGAGGCAAGTCGGTGTTACTCCAGCAGTCTGAAGCAGTTCAGCAGCCGGCTGCCAGCACCGTGGAAAACCCGAGCCAGGCAGCTAATCCTGTCCCAAGGGTCCTCGAAATCTTCCAGAGAAGACGCGTACGAGACGGCTATTTGTCCAATCGAAAGGGATATCAGGTTGAAGAACTTCGAGAATGAGTAATAACTCCCTCTCGCGATGTGGAAACTTTCCAGGGCCAAGCGGGACTAGGCTGGTTAACGCTCCTTCGCCCACCCTTCCACCGCAAACGATCCCGCATGCTTCAGCTTAAGAGTTTTTTTCACCTTGATCTGGAATGCACCCAGACCCTGGCCTAAAGTCTTATTTTCCCCAGAAAGTGACGCATAGCTCTGGGGGTTGTGTCACATTCCTGTTGGACACCTCCTCGGCTTCGCCAGCCCCCTTCAAGATCGTACCACGTCTGGCAAATAAATTCTGAAAGATGGCCCCCAGATGCACGACATTTGAAGCCAGTCAATCAGGCATTCTGAGGCTCTAAGGCTCCTAGAGTCTGAATCTGTCGAATAATATTGTGGGAGCTTTCTTACGTCCGAAGCAGAAGACTCAACCACAAGATGGAGATGCTCCCGCAGCTGGAGCCACGGCTCCTCATTCAGATGAGCCCAGCTGAACTTCTCAGCTACTACCGCACTATCACGGAGACTTGGGCCATTGAAAATCAACAACGCATTGTTGCTCATATTATTGCGCAAATACATAGCGGAGCGATTCCACCGACTATCTTCAATGTTTGGCTTCCGTTGATGCTCCACCGTTCTCCGCCGTTGCTCAAGTCATTACTTATAGACCCAAAGTCATATTGCATTCGAAATATTGGTTTGAAATCTCTATGTCGAACTTTACGCAAAAGACGATGGAGAAAGCGCGCATGGGATGCGGTTGGAGGCGCGGCGGGTCTCTTCGAAGTATTCCAGGCTGTTGGTTCCAGCCAAGCCAGAATGCTCGCGAAAATGATTGGAAAGAGGATGAGGAAGAAGCCCGCTTTTGAAGAAGATATTGACATGCTCACCCAAGCTCTCACGTTCAATTGCTCGGTCTTAGGGGACCGTGTAACCGCGACAAGACGTCTCGCGCCCGACGACGTATCGCCGCTCCTTCAGGCATGCAGCGAATCTTTTCTTCTGCAACTGTTTATGCGGCCTTATGACCCCGATTTTCCTCTCTTCAACTGGCTTGACCTCTTGGCTGAACCTCGAACGGACCTTCTCCGGCGGATTTCGGTTGGTGCCACACCCGTGGATACATCGGTTCGACAAGAGATAGTGAACCGGTTGCCGAAGAATCTCTTCTCTTCAAACGAGCCTTACTCTATCCGGTCAACTTCTGATTTCCAAATTTCCGAATCTGCTCCGCCGGGATTGCGCTTTTGCTTGGACTTGGTTGATTGTCTCCGCAGCCAGCCCATCTCACTCTCAAATTCTACGGTTTTTGGTTGGGCTCTCACGGCTATCACAGCTGCTGCTGATAAAAAAGCGTCATTTGATGATATCTTGCGGTTAATCCAAACAGTTACGGATTTTGCTTCGGATCGGAATGAAGGGCTGGGACAATCGTTGCATGCATTCCCTGCACACCTGGCGCAGTTATGGGCCTTTGCAGATGAAGCGGCCGGCGACCTTGATACAAGCATTATCATCTTTGGTCGTCGAAGAACCCGAAGTCACCCTTCTCGACCAAACGCTAAACACAAGCAAACCTTGGAGAATCTGCTTGTACGCTTTATTCAGGTTATTCCGCAGGACAAGCTTACCCCGCTTGATATCGCATCGACATTTTTGACGCTGGAAAAGAAGGTCGACGGTTCAGCTTTTCCGCTGGGATCTAAGCTAGGTGTTATAAAACTTTTATCTCTACATTCTCCGGGTATCCAGATCGATTTGGACGCGCTTCCCGCTTCCGAGAAAGATTGGCGTCGTTTCCGTTGGGGCATCAATGTTTTTAACACTCTTCCTGCAAAAGATGCGAGATGGCTTTTCTCACAGATCGAGAGTTTGGGGCTGGTGGATGACACCATCCTGTTTTCTGCGTCCGACAGCTCTAAGCCTACTTGGTATAAGAAAGGATTGTTAAAAGTAAAATGGGCAGCAGCAGATCCAGTACCTGGAAATGATCGCTCGACAACATCTCAATGTAAGTAAACAACCTATGCATTCCAAAAAAGAAAGAAAGAAAGGAAGGAAGAAAAGGAAAAAGTTACCTGCAAGGAATGGAGCCCTAATGACCTGTCATAGTTATTGAGGAGATCAAAGCGGAGGCCGAGACCCAGCGCGAGAGCGACATGCGAAGAGATTGGGCTATGAGAGCCATTGAAGGTGCCTGTGAAAGTAAAAGTATACCGCTTTTCAAGGAAGTCAGCCGTTGGACTTCTAGATATTTACGCGATCCTGTGAGTGAAGCCCGCATATTGGCCTGCTTTCTTCTCTCTGACTTGGTCTATCAATCAAAACTGACTGTCGGTTAATAGTTGGTCTATCGTTATTTGGTTGACTCCTTGTTTGGTTCGGAGAGTGCAGATCTCCTATCATGTACGAAACTACCCCATCGGCCGACTTCTCTTACTGCTCTTGCGGAACTTGTACAAGAGGCAAACGCCGTTCTTGCGTATCATGTCAACGTTGCATTGTCAGCTTTGCAAGAGCCAAGTTTCAAAAACCATCCTTTGCGCAATCCGAGCACCCAACTCACTGAGGTTGTTTCAATGCGAATTGATGGAGTGAACCAATTTAGCAAATTGGGTTTTGCCGATAAAGATTCCCTAGTTGAAGTTTTGCTAGATTCTATGATCCCAGTTTTACTGCTGTATGAAACGATCGCAGTCACGGAAGGGAATGAAATGCTTCACTGGCATGCCATGGGAGGTCCTCTCGACGACTTGAACTGTCCCACCCCAACGCCAGGATATGCCTTGAGGTTCCTCGACAAAGTAGCTCTCCAACGCGACGAGTTGTGGGCTAAACAGAGACGTATTAGGCAGCCACAATCGGCAGCGTTGAAACTTGGCTGGCCAAAGGGCTTGCCGGTTCAGGCGCTTTTGCCATCTATTGACTGGGCATCAGCGGTGTTTAAGGACAAGAGTGCTGCACCATTTGTGGCAAAGCGGCTTGACGAAATATTATTTTGCAATTCCAAAACAGTTCTTTCACCGATTCCTCGAAACACTCGGGGAATCGGTGGGTTTGTGGATAGCTTACCTTACGTGATTACTGCATTTTGCGCAAGCAAGTCAGAGGTCGAACAGTCTGAGAGGATAATTCAGGTTTGGGAACATTATACACGCGTCTTTCCCGCACAAAGCAAGTATACCAGGCACATCAAGCAATATCTTCTTGAAAAATACGCTTGCGCAAAGCCAAGACCTCGAAAAGCGGTGCAAATACTGGATCCGCTGATATTGGGTGCGCTGCCTCGATTGGAGAATTCTGCTGCTTCTGAACCGTCGGAATGGAATCCTTACCCTGCCATTTTGGACGCTGCGTCAGATATTGAGATGGACGATGAGGGTCCGGCCACTCTGCTTGAATGCCGGTTGTCGACATATTGGTTCTTTCATATTACCAATGATTTTTACGCTACATTTGAAGAACCCACTACAGATATAGAGGAACCGAAGCCATGCGCACTAGATATATGGCAGCCCAAGTGCAATTTTTGTGACCTTTCTTTGGTGGACAAGGAAATTATTATTGTATCCGCTATGCTATTTTTGGACACTCTTGGAGGTGAATCTTCAGGCATATTCTCTACGTCATTCCCCGAAAATAGCGGTTCCCCACGTTATCCGCCTTTATACCTGGATTACGACTTCCTTTCGTCTATCGAAAATGAGTCAGAGGCCGTCACGGCTGCGTTGAGTATTCTGAACAAGCTGAGACACATGATACCAGCTGAGCTGCTTTGCAAGCTTTCGGCTTCGTTGCTGAAAAAGCTCCCGCAGGTGAAGAGTAAACTTTGGCTTGTCGAAAGAGCGGCATTCGACTTGATCAAGTTGGTTGGCAAAGCCGATCAACCAGAGCTGGCAGTTGATCTTAGTTTACACGTTATCGAGCACATGCCGGGTGCGTCGTCATGGCATCGAGATGTCGTCTCCTTGGGCTTGATACAGCGTTTGGATTTTGCGGTTGCAGAATGCATGTTGGCCAAGTTCGCGTCGGTGGTGCTCGAATTTTTGGCGAGAACACCGGAGAACGACCTTGTTGCGGAGGAAGATCTTGACGACGCTATCCTCTGCGATGAAATCGAACACCGAGTTGCTCCCTCGGATACGGAACTGGGTAAGAAACCAGAACACATTAAGATCTCGACGATCAAACTGCTAGCGAGGCTGATTGGAGATGGCGGGTTCTTCTCAAGCAAAACTGCTCTCCATACTCTTCAGTCACTGTTTCATGCTAGCCATCACATTGACGTGCGAGATGCTGTGATCACCGCGTTATTCCAATTGTTGCGCAAGAGCACGGGTTTGGACGGTAACCTATCTGATGAAGTGTATGGCATAGTTACATCGTTTTATACCGCTGCAGCTGCGCCTAGTGAACGGATAACTCTTTCCGAGGCGGACTGGGAAAATGCTGAAAAGAGTGGTCCTCTTCCAAGCGTCAACGAAAACCGACCGTTGCTTCAGCTATTCATAGAAAGAGCCCGTCATAGTATTCCGCACAATCTACGTGAAGACTATGTTAAGAATACTATCCTACCCCTCCTGGCCGAGTCCACAAGAAAGCATAACCGCTGGATACGAATGTTTCTCAAGAAGGTTGGATTGTCAGAAGCGTCCATTCCGATTTCTAACTTTGGCCCGTTTGACAACGAGGTGGAAGACAAGGTTTTCGTGAACTGGCTACCATATCTTCAGAAAGATTATCTCCTCCTTCACCGCGCATGGGCGTTGCGTTACATGGATTGCTGCAAGGTTACTTTTGTGGAGGAAAAGTTGACCGCTCAAGACCCCAACTGGAAATATACAGACTCCGGTGGACACTGGTCCAGATTCATGGAGAACTACAGCACTTGCAAGGTATTCAACGCAGGTCAAATTGCTCCAAAGGTGGGGGATGGCATCACACAAGGTGATTTGGCAAATGAGGTATATCAACGATGCCAAATAGTTCTCCACAATCCAATCCATATTGGAAATGACAGGAAAGCCCACCTGTCCCTGGCGCCAATTCGGGCCCTGATCCACAACCTATTTTCCTCGTTACAAAATAGCGTATCCCGGGAATTGGCGGCTCGGCAGGTACTTGCAGGCATCGCGGCTGAGGTGGATAGGCTTCGCACACAGTCTTGGCTGGGTGATCCCAATCGGCATCCAGCAATCCTTCCGTCTTGCATGGAGATCCAGGCTCTTCTACTTCCGTTCCCGCATCTTGAAGAATCATCGCAAGATCGTTATGATACATTCGCCGGTTGCGTTTTCGAGTTGATTTCTAACTGCACCCTGTCTTCATCTTTCATCGATGATTTTAGGCATCTGGAAAAGGCAATGGCCAAGGTCCGCACGAAGGACAAGCTTGCCTGCGCTTTACGACTAGGTCGACTTTCCGGCGACGCATGTGGTGAGCTGGTTCAAAATCTTCGAATTCAGCTAGCCGCAGAGCTGTTGGATGGACTCAATGTGGCGGCCGTGGCACAGAGTGAGGAAGCCAAATTTATGGTGCAGGCTTGGACGGGTAGCTCGAACGAATGGGTACGAACCACGGCATGGCAGCTGAACGAGAGGTTCGGGTATCGAAATCCAGCGGCTTCGGCAAGTGTAAGAGGATAGGGCTTTTTCCCTTTTTTTTTTTTTTTTTTTTTTTTTTTTTTTTTTTTGAATGTATATACATTGATACATATCGAGTATTACTGCCTGCTTCATACCATTGCGCACTTTTAAATTCCAAGCATCGCAAACTCCATGATGGCCCTCTAGATATTACACAAACAGAGCAAACAAAACATGTCACTTACATAAGCTGCCCCTCCCACGTGATCATCCCCTCTGCATGGTCCGTGCGCGCCCCGCAGTCCGGAGCCGCAGCCCGCCCGGCAGGCGCATCGCCGACCGCCGTCGTTCGCAACGTTGCTCAAAGCCAAGCAGCTCTGGCAGGCGAGCACGCGATGTCTTCCTGGACGGCAGTCCCGCCACTCCTCAACACCCGCCAATCCAACTCCTGGGCCTCGTCCTTGCGACAGCCCTCGACCACTGAATCAGGCTCTGCTCAGACAGCAAAAACGAGCAACGCTTGAAGTCGGCTACCGACCGTGGTACGGCAGAGGCTGTGGACCTTTCCAATCCTCCTCGCTCTTCAAAGCAAATTCTTGTTCTGACGAGCTCAGATTTACCTCATAGGTTACGCCGTTCTGCAGTCACGGGGTATTTCCTTAAGCAGATTTCATCATATCCCACTTGCCGCTCATCCATCTATTCCCTCTCCCCGACCCTTTGTTCCTTGAAGACTCTGCGTGTCAAAGCCAGGAGCTCTTCGAAACAACTATGGCGTCACGAACACACGATGCACCTGGTGGTGCGCCCTCAGAAGTTGCTCCCAGGAATAAGCAGGAACAATCGCTGAACGACCGCTTCTTCCGCTACTTTCAACAAGAGATCACCGGTACGAATTTCTTCAGCAGCTTAGTACTTCGCCGCTAATCCACTCGTGCTCCAGCTTTGCAAGACCAGATGGACCGTCTCGCCGATACCTCGACGGCCGGCGGAGAAAGCCGAGACGCCGTTGACCACTGTCTTGCTGGGATATCGAGGTTGTCAAGTGAAGTTAAGGACGCCTCTAGCTACGTACCACCGTATGATCAGCGGATATATGCTGAAGTATGTCTCCGAGAAGCACGCTGGATCCCTCTGTTTTATTCTTTTTTGGTCCGCTTCTTACACTTTCTAGGCGATCAAAGCTCTTCAAGAAAAGCTAGCAGAGACCCAAGCGGCCATTGCTCCCCGACAAAAGTTCACCTTCAAAACTGCCCGCAAAAATCCCTCCGCGATATCTCTTGCAGATGTAGCCGAACTAGACGCGCAAGGCCGTCGCCATATCCCCGGTTATCGGTCTGGGGACAACTCATCTGTGGAATCGTCCCTGAACACAACACCCCTTCATGCTCTGACGCCTAACGATCCTGGAGGTCCAGAAAGCCCAAGCAACGGCTTCGCGGATGGCTCTCTCTCCTCTTTTACTACACGGGATACATCAGGGATAGACAACGGGCAGTCTACAAAGAACGAAATTTCGCCGATATCCGTGAACTCGCAGTCCAATGTGCGGTTCACCCTGCCGCGTCCTACGTTACATAAATCAGTTCCAATCTCTATCACTTCAGTGACACGCTCTGTGATTGATCTACTCGATGGATACCCATTTGCTGCTCTTTCGGTCAAGAATATTACCGACAGTTTACTCATGTGCGGCGAAGTAACGGGAGCGGCGCACATCACCGGTGTGGGACATTCGGTGATTGCCGTATCCTGCCATCAGTTCCGTATGCATGATTGCGATAATGTCACCGTCTATCTTGGGTGCTCGAGCACTCCCATCATCGAGAATTGTCACAATATTCGCTTCACTCATATCCCAAGTCCTTTTGTAAGTTTTGTTTCAAAAAGTTACCTTTCACTGATCTTAGAGCAATAACTAATGTAATATGTAGCTTCGAAGCCCGGTTCCTTTTACAATAAAGGATTCTTGGTCCCATGTAGATGACTTCAGTTGGCTCAAGATGGGCCATAGCCCTAATTGGATGGTTGCAGACGAAAAGGAGTTCGATCCGGATCATATATGGAAAGGCCTGTGCGGCAACAATGGCCAGCAATCATTAGAAGCAGTTTCCCTTACCTCCTAAGCCTATAAAATCTCAATGAGGCAAAATATGGTGTGCCTTTGTGAAATTGATTGCGTGCATAATCTTCAAGAAGTTTTTTTATTTGATATACAATATAGTCAGTTTGTGATTGAGGATATGGCGAGTGGCTTGCTTGTATTTTGTATAGCGAAAACAAAGGCCCTCATGACCAGTGCGTGTTATTGGAACAAATGGTTCCTCTGTGATAAGGAACAAGGCAGGAGGTGGATGTTTTATACGCGATTTTCTACAGGTTAAAAGGGGGGGCTATCACAATACTTGGTTGCTGTTATGAGAAGAGACAGACAAACCCCCTCCCCAACACACACACAAAAACACACAGAGTTATAGATACAGTTACACATATAGCAATAAATCTATTTGTTTAGATCAGCAGTGAATGCAATGATCTTCTGTGATATCATTAGGGTTTTGAATTCGGGCGGGGGGGGGGGGGGGGGGGGGGGAAGCACATAACAAATAGCAAAGCTGTTTCGGTATAACTCATCAATCATTTAAACATAGACAGCACTCCCAGCACCATTATAAAAAGCGCTGATAGAAATACGCTCTCTAGCATGTAACATTAGTAGAGAGGGAGGGGAGATAAGGGGAAAAAAAAAAGAGGTACCTATCTATGCAGTTTAAATTGTTATGAAAATGAATTTAGGATCACCTTTTATTCCTCAAATCCACTGTCTCGAACTCCAAACCCTTTGCCTCAAACACATGTCCCGGCCTCAATGCATCCGTATAGATATCAGTCTCTTCATGTGGGTGGAAGAGCCCCTGCTTCGTACACGCCAGGACGGTCTTCAATCCCGGTGGATCGGTCAATCTAAACACACCCCAGTCCGGCGTCCTGCTGGGCGCACAGACGATAGCGATACTCTCAGCGAGCATGACCTGGTATCCGGACTGAGTGTGCAGATCACGCGAGCTCATGAAACAGGTCTGCGTTGGGTGCGTGTGTATCCAGCCCAGGACCATGAGGTCCTCGGCGTCACAGTACTCGAAGACGGCGCCTTCGTTGACCATTTCGCAGGTGTCTGGTGTGGATTCTTGTTCGGGGATAAGGAGCTTGGAGATGAAAAAGGCGTTGGAGATCAGGGAGCCGCAGAGGATGCCGCATGTTTCAAGGTTGCGACGGGTGTTGGGGTAGGCGATTTCGAGGAAGCGTTGGCGGAGGTCAGGGGAAATGAAGATTGTGCGGAGCGGGTTGCCATTCTCGAGGTAGGAGGATGGTTTGAAGGTGAATGTGGACGGTTGAAGGTCGGATGAAGACGGGGTGATGTAGTCGGGTTGGCGAGGTGGCTCGGGAGGGGTGATACTTGTGGTGTTAGGCGCGACTTTACTAGGAACTGGCGGGGCGGAAGGAGGTGTAGCGGATATTGGTCTGGAGGGAGGTTCGGGGATTTTAGCTGGAATTGCTGGCGGCCGCAATGGCAGAGGCTGAAGCAGCCCTTTACTTGGAAGTGGCGGCACTGTTTCCGTGATTGTGAAGATGCTCTGTGCAGGAACAGCGGGATACTTGTAGCCTGTCGCTGAACGGTTCGGCTCAGGCCGCCGTAGTATTGTTTGAACCTCAGAACTCGCAGGTTGAGATTCCTGGATGCTTGTCCTGTGAGTCTGGTCCCCTTCAACTCTGGCTCGCACTTCCTGTAGTCGGCTAGCAAGATCGTCCTGGTCGGACACGCCGTGATGCTCCTGCGTTGGTTGACCTTGAACAGGCGCGAGCAGTCTCCGTTGCTTGTGCGGGTGAAGATTCTCGCTCAGGTAGTGCCCCAATTTAGCCGCTGCTCTGCGTTTCAGCTCCTTTTGGGCCAGTTTCACGGCTAGGTCCTTGTTCTCTGCAGCAGCGAGGGGCTGTGGTCGTCCAGCTATCGCAGGGTCATGAGACTCGCGATCACGAAGGAGGTCTGCATGGTCGTCCAGCTGAGCGGCTATAGTCTTCCTAAACTCAATATCTCTTGCCTCTTGATACTGCTTGTATCGCTGATTTATCCGGGGCTTCAGGACTTCCAATCTTTTCAGCGAGTTCTGCACCTCCCGCTGCGCTTCGGCCAGGCCACGCCGGCAACTCGGGTCCTGGGCCTGGGGGTGCATAATAAGATTGACAAGGACGAGCTGTGCATGTCTGAAAAGGAGGAGGTATGCCTGCTGGTCGTTTCCTTCGCGCTCGTAGACATCTGCCTGAATGGGACGACAGTCAGTATCAACCGGAATGTTGCTACGGAGGGAAACGAACCTCTTTCACCAAAGACGCAGCGGTCCTCAGCCAGTATTGCAGCTTCGTGCTGGGGCTGTACTCGTACGCTGCGGCCTGGCGAGCGATTTCCGCGACGTTGAGCGGCGGAATCATGGCTGCCGTTTGGACGTGAGCAGCAAACTGACATGTAGCTAGGTCCGTAGACAAACCGCACGAGGAGGTGCAAAACACACAACCGTCTTAAAATAGCCCGACCACTGAGGATTTAAAGGTTGTTGTGGCGCCGGAAAGTTGCGAGCTTGTCTCTCCCAAGGTTTTGGCGATGAGGTGGTGAACTGCCACACGATGGGGCGGGGATCGAATCTACTGAACCTGTTTCAACAGCGCCGGCGACGGGGGATGAGCCGTGCGCTGAACGGCCATTCCCATTGTCTGCTCGCTCGGGGTCACAGTGTCCAGTGCCAGTCCTTGTGTCTGTGTTATGGCTGTCGGTCCAGGCCGTTGTCTTTCTTTTCACGCACTCGCTGATGTCACCTCACCGGCGCCAAGGGAGCTTGTTCTTCTCTTTTTTGACGCGACGGACAAATCCAGCGTCCAGCCAACGTAGCTCAATCGACACGCAACGACGGCCTCTCCTGATGCGGAGGTACCTTGGGCTCAGGCCCATACACCTGGTATGGACGCCTGTCCGGCATTATTCCCGATCCCCTTCTCTCTCCGCCGCCTCTAGGGATCATGCCATCCACATCAACAGCGAGAGACTATGCGGTGAGTGGTCCATGAAGCCCAAAATGCCAAAGAAATAGTATCCTGTCGCTCTGTATTCTGACTCTTATTTTTCTTTCTTTTTTTTCTTTGGTTTTATTAAGATGATGTGCTCGAAAGACTCGCTCCCACGTTCCACAACACGGGTCCAATCGACATCATCGACTTGTATCCCGGCATCGGGCTCTGGTCGAGGAAGGTCAACGAGCTCCTCAAGCCACGACGCCATATCCTACTCGAACCTAACGAGAAAGACTATCTACCCCATCTACAACCCCTTCTCGACCGTAGCCCAAACTACAGATTGCTGCCGTGGGAACCGCTCGACGAAAGGAAGCTGGCCGCCCTATTCTCCGAGGAATACCTCCCCGAGCAGCTCAAGCGCGTTTTGGGGCCGCAGGGCCGCATCCACGTCAACCCGTCCTTGCTGATCCTTGCAAATATGACACGCCATCGGAACTCCTACTCGAAGAAGATATTCACTTTTCTCCGACACCTCGAGTCCTGCTTTGATCAGACACTTTTCCACCAGCGCGGGCTGGTGCGAATGATCTCGTTATTTTCTGCTGCGGACGCTGAAAATGTTCTCCCCAGAAAGCTCTTTGGGCGCCGGAGGTTGGCGGTGCTTGCAGATGCAACGGCGTCAGAAGTCATACAGCTTGCTGGTGGCACCAATGAGAGTAACAATGCCGCACTCAAGGGAGGTGATATCTGGGATCGATCCGCAAGAGCAACTGCAGCTCGCGCGAAGAATGCCGGGATCACTACTCCGCGAGATCGAAAGCCGAAGCCAATAGAACTGGCCCCCGAGGCATTGGCGCTACGTCCCAGTGATATACCGCATTTCAAACGCCCCAGACAAGATTGGCACAACGGCTTTCTCGAGCTGTACGAAGAGTATAAACAAAACGCCAAAGATAATCCCGGATCCACAAAGCTCCCGGATCCCAAGAAGGAGAGCCTTTTCATGGTACAGCGAAAGCGCCTCCTTCTTGAAAATAGAGAATCACATATAATCGCGGACTGCCTTGAGAAGGGGCTCGCCATCGATGATGTCCACGCCCAGCTTCGCTCCATCATGCAGAAGGGCAAACCATATCCCGTGGGCACTCCGGAACTCGTCTCAAAACTAGAAGCCCTCACGTCCGAGTACGACGCGGTCTTCTCCCAGCTCTCAATGCTCTCCAAACTTCGCGCCGTCCAGCACATCCAAGAAGTCCGCGCCTACAACAACAACACCGATTCCACAGACTGCCACACCCCACTCCTCCTCTGGGACCGACGTGTCGCCGAACCCTTACGCATCAAGCAGGAAGAGCTCCAACCCCCTATCCCCTGCGGCATCATCGACTTCCACCCCAACCCATCCTCGCCCATGCTCCGCACCCTCCAAGAATACACATCCGCCAACAAATCCCGCGAAGACTACCTCGACATGATCTCCCTCTTCAAGCAACTGATCCGCATCATCTCACGCGGCAACGCCACCGCCGTCGACCGCTCCCTCCTTCACCCCTTGTTCCCCGGCCGCCCCGTGACAGACCTTGTCGAGGCCATCCCGTCCCTGCGCAAATTCGCAAGGGTCACAGCGACATATCCGCCAGGCTCCACCATCAGATCCGCAAAGGACCTCCAGCTTACGTTTGCCGAGGATTGTCTGTCTGGAACGTATTTGCGGGAACTTCCTATCTCTGTGCTCTGGGATATTGCGCTGGAATGGAATAGGTGGCCCATGCGAATGATAACTGCGCAGGAGCTGTGGAAGGTGCTGGGAGGCGGTGGTGTGCAGAGAATAGAGGCGACGTTTGTCTCGCGGAAAAATTGAATGAAACTGCATATCTTTTGTCTTGTACTTTTTGCAGCGGATTTACAGGGACGGAGTCGTGCAAGGGTGCTTCGGTGTGTGCTTGCAATCTTGTTCTGTACAAATATACGTGTTCATTTAACACATAAACTCGAAATTTCTTATTTGGCTAGAAATGAAGGAGGCGAACTGAAAGTGCGTCTTGGTTTGATAGACTCTAAAAGCCACTTAATCTATTGATTATACAATAGTGATTATTACAGGTAACCAATATCAATATATGAAAGTTTCAATAGCATCAGCAAAAGGAGTGACAGGGGGTTGGATGGTGCTGCGGCTCGGCGAGATGTGTATCTTGCCGGAGTGCTATTAATATTATGTAAAGAAAGGAGGAGGAACATAAATATATATAGCAACACTGATATAGAAAATCCAAACAGGTAGAAACTTCTTGAAGGCAACGTCCCCGAGATGGAGCCACTCAATCCCCGAGATACACCCCAAAGAGCCCCTTTTTGAGCCCTGCAAATTCGTCATGCGTCCATCTTACATAGAGTAGCGCCGATGGCGTGAAGGGCCCAAATCATCATGTCCGGCATCATCTTGCATAGGAGCTTCCGTAACTTGATTGACTAGGGGATCGCTGACGCCGGTTCCCTGCAAAGTTTCTGGCATTGTGCTTGTTGCTGGTGAATCGTGTATGATATAAGTTGTCTCGGGCTGCCCAGGACTCCCGAACTGCGGTGCCAGTGTTGAAGACGAAGGTAAATTTACCTCCATAGATTGTTCAGCCCAATCTTGATAATTATCGTAATAGATAGGAGGGAATCTTTCTTGGGGGGCTTCTTCGTAGTATGCCGTGTCCAGCAAAACCCCGAGCCCCTGCCATGAATTGTTCGACGAATCCTCTAACGCCGCATATTCTTCCGTTCCATTTACCATTGGCACAGGGACTGGTTCTGGTTGACATTCCCTTCCTCCATGGTCATAGGCAGCGCTTCTCCCATGTGCATTTGCAACAAATTGAACATTATACACCCCAGACCATGGGACTGTCCAGTTACTAACAGGAACCATATCCGCCAACAAGGTCTCATTGGACACCCAGTCCGTTCGTCCTCCGAGGATAATCTCAGGGGGTAACTCATCGACCGCAATGAGCGGCACCCGCGTCAGATTAGGGCGATATATGAAGAACTCAGGCCGCAGGTCCGCCGGTCTCGGAGGGGAAGGTTGGCCGACTTGGTCGGAAGACACGATCATGGGCTCGACCGGACGATGCGTTTCGTGATCGACATTCGGGCTCTGTTCACCCTGATTGGGACTTCTTGATCGACTTGAGCCTGGGCTTGAGACTCGACTCAAGGATGGACTCGGAGCTGAACTCAACGCTAGATTCAAGGAGGGACTAGAGGCGAAACTAGGAGCCGGTGTTCCGCATCCCGACATCGAAGGCTCAGAGACTGTGCTATTTTCAATTTCCGGGCATTTGTCTTGATCCCCGAAGTCTGAGTCATTTTGGTTGGCGGTGCTGTCTGAGTTGTTATTGTTGCTTCTGCCTGACGGGCACCAGGACGAAGCAGTCTTCTTCGACTCCATCTTGTAGATTGGATAATCGTTCAGGAAAAGAAAAGAAAGCAAGGGAAAAAAATAAAAATTAAAGGAAAGGAAAGAAACAAAGGGATATTATTGATTAAATAGATACAGTAAGATGTAAGAATACACTCTTTTCAGGGAAGCGAATGTAGATGAGTGCTGGCAAGAATAGGACACCAGAGAACGGATGAGAAGAAGAGAAAAACTGCTTGTTTCCATCATCGAATGTGCCGTCTTTGCAAGATATTTGTACTTAGAAGAAAGGAACAAAGAGTGTGCTGGAACCCAGAGGCAGGAACTAGGCAATCAACCACACACACACATATATATATATGCATGCGGGACGGAAGCCATGTCCCTCTGCGATGGCCCTGCTTCCTGTCAATCTATGAAAGCGCGATGAAGGCAGACGAACCCCGGCAAGTCGCCATGCAGCGTCTATCTTAACTCGAGTCATGTAACCCAAAAAATTTCGAGTCTTGATGTAGAATGGTATTCATTTCCGATATTGGCATACATAACAGTTGAAAGCATTCTAGCAAACACGGTATCAAAGAGTATGTCTAGGAGTCGTCATATCAAATGTATCCTGTATGAGAAAAGTTGGGAATTGAAATGAAGAGAAAGGAAATGAAAAGAAAAAGAAAAGAAGAGGTCATGAATCTTTTCTAGTACAGTGGCAAGAAAAGACGATAAAAGTAAAAAGGGAAAAAAAAGGGACGAACCTGTGGTTAAGCACAAGGAGGAGAGAAAAACGCAACACCATCTCAATCACACCTCTGCTGATGATAAAACGTTAAAGTCTGCATAAAGCATGTTATACAATTGCAAAATATTTTAATGGGCAAAGTCTAAATAAAAAGGTCAGTTGGTCGGTCCGGCCACCATAAATCGTCACTGCGCTATCATCGTCAATCAACACGATTTCCGTACGCGAGACCAAAAAAAAAAAAAAAAGAAAAAAAAAAAAAAAGGGTAAAAAGGGAGGAAAAAAAGAATGCAGTCACGATGACGCCGCTGACAGCAAGGTCTTCGCTTCAGATTTAATCAAATCGAACCACGCAGCAGGGTGAATCCTGCTGTCGGGATCTTTCAAGACGGCCGGAGACAATAGGCGCTCGACCGTCCCTTTTCTGGGTACTCTCGAGCAATTGACGCCGCTCCGCACGAAGTCAAGCACACGGTGCCCGTCCCGCGACATGGCCAGGCACTGCATGCTGCCTGCACCGGGGTAGAGTTGCAAGTCGCCGGTGACGGCTGTCAGTAGCGTCACGGCAAGAGAGAAGGTGTCTGATGCTTTCGACGGAGCAAGGGTTGATGACGTCAGGGCCGAGATCGTGAGCAGCTCAGGGGCCGCGAAGGGAGGAGTCAGGGCCGACAGACCGAGCCCGTGGCTGTTCGAACCGGCAGTCGACGAAGACAAGTCGTGTGACGAGGTAAAGTCGACATAGACCAGGTCGTGGGGCAGAGCGTCTTCATGTGCTGCTGGATTGTGCGGTCGTAGCAGGATGTTCTGTGGCTTTATGTCTCCATGGACGACTTGGGCGGTGTCGTGCAGCCAGGCGAGTCCCTTGACGAGACGCTCGGATAGTCCCAGCCACTTCGACATGCCGAGAACGGGGTCGAACATGGTGCTCGTGGAGAAGTTCTCTCGGGTGGCGGCAGCCTGTGAGGTGATGTAGTCCGCAAGAGTCAGCGGCAACGCATCCATCACCAACGAATGAGACGCTGAGACATAGCCGTGGAAGGGGACCAGATGGTCCTCGTGGCCGGGTATCCTCGATAGGCGAGTTAACAGGAGGGCTTCCGCCTTCAGTATGTGATGCGCATCGCGCCGCAGCGGCGTTTTGACCGCGAAGACGCGATCGGACATGTTGGTCGTGGCTGGCGACTCACTTCCCACGGGGGACGCTGGCGCAGCTTCCGGGCACACGGCGCTGTACACAACGCTCCATGCGCCGTGGCCGAATTCAACCGTCTGGCCACGAGAATCGCGGCGTATATCCAGGTCATGTTCAAATTCAAGGGGAGTGGCAATGGCTGGAACATCAGCCAGGCTCGCAGACGGGCTGGCGAGAGCAGACGAGAGGTCAGGCCTGGACGCCTGGAGGCCAGCGAAAGAGATGGGCGAGGCATCGGCATCGTCGGCGAGAACAGGTGTCAAGGGCGGAGTGGGATTCGTCGACAGCGCCAGAGTTGGTGGATTGGCGGTCTTGGCATCGGCCGGAGTCTTGACCGCCAGAGCTTGACGGCCGTCCGCCGGAGTTCCGCTGCCAAGTTGCATTGGGGAGCAAGACAGCGCGTGGCTAAGAGGAGAGAAGTTGCAGGGAGAAAAGGGAGAGGACGAGTTCAAATGGGGGAAGGTCTTTTAGTTTTGCGAAGAGAAAAAAAAAAAAATTTTAAACTGCGTGGCAGGCGATAGATAAGGCCTGTGCCTGACGCGAGGATAACCTCAAAAGGTGACTGTATCTGCAGCTAAGGAACGTGGATAGTGGGAACGTCATAGGGCTGAGCCGCAGAGAACCAGAGAGGCTGTATGTATGTCTCAGATCTTGATTGGAATGGTAGTTGGGGAATTTTTCTGTTTTGCATCGAGCTTAATATGTAGCTAAAAGTTAACCGCGGATGGCGGAGGCAAGGGAGGCAATGCGGGTGGCGGGCGCAGACTCAGGAGAGATTTAGAACCATGGGAAGTGCCAGCTGCGGCAGATCAGCGGGGAGTGTGAAAATGCAAAACAGAGTCAAACGAACATGGCGGAGCAGGAGTAGAAATATGAGGTTGACTTCTAGTGATGAAGCGAAGCCGGGTGTCGGCCGTCTCGCGCGCTTGAAGTGAAGAGCTCCAATGAACCAAAGAAAGAACAAATGGATGGGGGGGGAAAAAAAGAAAAGAAAAGAAAAGAAATAAAATCAGAAATAAGAAATAAGAATAGAGGAGTTGATCAAGAGTAAAACTCGGAAGAAAGAAGTGAACAGTAAAGAGAAAAGTTGAACAGGTAACCAAGTAATTTAAAAAAAATAAAAAATAAAAAAAAAATAAAAAAAAAAATTAAGAAAATAAGAAAATTGAAGATATAATATATTATCGTGACAATTTCCAATCGACCCAGTGGGCGGAGACGCAAGACACATTCAACGTAGGATCATCGCTCTCCGAGTCCCCTTGCCCTCCTTTTTTTTTTTTTTTTTTTTACTCTTCCACCCCCCCCTGAGAGTTCGCAATGAGTGAGTCATTAGCTAAAAGGCCGCAAAAAAGCTATTAATATGATTGACCTTTCACGTCGCATCCAGGAGCTATATAAACTAGAAGGGGGTCACTTGGGTCTCCCAGCGACGTGCTGGGGTTTTGACACACACCGTTCCCGATCCTTGCGGAGAATTATGACCCAAAAAAGCCCCAAGAAAAAGGGTTCCCTTTATCTTCAGAGTACTATCATATCTGCATCATTAAGTTAAGTCACCACCCGCAAGTGCCAGGAGAGCCGCTGTCTGCAGCAGCCGGGGGACGGTTCTGGTAGCTTGGTCCTAGTGGTCATTGTTTGATCCGTGGAATCGAAAAATTTAACTGAAGAAGAAAAACAAAAAAAAAAAAACAAAAAAAACAAAAAAGGGCAAAATTACAGGCAGCGCGGTTCTGGTGTGACGGGCGGGTACGGC